AGTCGAGTGAATAAAGCAAACATAACAATGTGCGCGATATAAATACAAACGAGCGGCAATCCGAAAACCGAACGTAGATTTCACAGAACCCTGAAACAACCCGTAAGCTGATCTAAGTCAGGTCACAGCTAACTCACAAATCCAACCCTGAACCAACCTCTGGGCTGATCAATGTTAGGGTACGGCTAACTCACAGAACAGAACCAACCCTGGAACAATCATTTCAGGTTGAAATCTTAATTACAGATATTGAACCACCAAGAATAAAGAAGGGACATGAGTGTCCTAAGTCAATCGTCCTGGCAACGAAGAAACATACTGATAGAGGAAGCGAAGTGACGTGGAATCCACCCGTGGCTGAGGACAACAGCGGCAAGGTGGCAACAAAGGTTGAACCGCCAGGAATCAATGGAAAGGCTGATTGGTTTCCATTAGGTTTGAAACTGGTTAAATACACGTTTAGTGATGCAAGTGGCCATAGTATGTCTTGTCAGTTTAACATCTCTGTGTTTGGTGAGTATCAAGGGCTTTAGTTATTTCATAAAGCCCCGTTTACACWAGCGATTTTTGCGGCGATTTTTGCTGCGATTTTTTTGCAATTTTGTCCATAATAAATAATGGCAAAGAATTTACTTGTAAAGTTATTTTTCAGGATACCACGTTTTTCCTAGACGAATGTCTCTTTTGAAGGATGAGACAAAAGATTTCATATTTCCGAAAATTGCTACAAAAATCGCAGCAAAAATCACCGCAAAAATCGCAAGTGTAAACGGGGCTTAAGGAATTCCTTTAAAACATTCGGTGATGACATACAAACTTTTTTTGAGGTTGGCGTACAYTACACCGTTAACTGTAACCCAACTACCTTTCTTGGCGAATGAAGGAAGACGCCCCGGGAGGGGGAGGAATAGGGAGTTCATGGTGGTATTTTGGTATTTTTGTTAATCAACGCAGACAGCGATCTTTGTAATAATGCATAAGTTGCTGTCAATAGACAGAAGTGTGGCTAATAGAAGAACACAAAAGAAATCCCATGCACTTTTTCTAGATAGAATTTGAGTCATTTCTTTAGTTTTTGTAATTTCCTGGTAGCCTCGCAACCAAAATAATTATTGAAAATAATACATATCGGCGTCATTTCCTGACACATCTAGAATGTTATCAGTTGAATGGGAAGTTTTCAATAAAAGTGCACATATTAATAAATGAATGATTGTAAGGGCAGTGGTTGCCTTCACTTATATAAGGCTGGCACTTGGGTTCATTCGGCTGACTGATTCGAGAATACGAATGTCGTGAAAGCATTCTGTAAATTTTAATGTAGTTTGAAATGAGTTTAACTAGAGGCAAACTCCAAAAAGGAGCCTTCATGTGAAGGCCTTGACCGTAATTGTTTTTTGTAGCACGTACCACGATCATCACCAAGTCTCCCATCCATGTCTCCATCTTGAAACACAATCCACTTGAATTAAAATGCATCGCCAACTCTGACCCTTCACTTCACTACACATGGAAAAGGACCACTCTTACCAAGCCAAACAAGATGATTACGATCAAGGGAGATTCCACTGAGCATGCGCAATTGCATGATGGGGGAAGGAGACTGTTGATCAGACACGTGAAAGATGATGACGCTGGAAATTACACCTGCGAGGTTATCAATAGACATTACAATGCATCAGGATCACGTGACATGGCAGTAACCTCTGTGGAAATCGTAATAGGTAACGTTAATTAAGCTTTTTCCGAAGTATGTTTCTTTGCTTTGCCGTTCTTTGGCGGGCTACCTGTGGTTCGTACATTAATATGACTCAGGAAGACTCCCACAAAGCCTTTCCTCCCTTCCTTTATTACACAGGGATCCCATTAGACTCACCTGTGAAGGAAGACTATAGTTTGGTTACCAATGATAAACACTTTACGCTTTATCATTTATTCCTTCGACTGATTGGGATAGTACACAAATGCTGATCAATCTTGATTCTTTACTGTAATGGGTTTTCGGTATCCGGTTGGCTTACTTTGTTGAGCATCGAACTTCGTGAAGAAGGTCGCGGTTTGAGTCCCGGCCGCTGGACCAACACTCCGTGACTTAAAATAAGGGGGAAAGCGAGGTCTTTCTAATTACTATATATAGCTAGACTTTCGAGTGACGCGGATGATCACTTTAAATGGGGGTCCCGTCTCTCCACACTTCATCATTACTAGCCAATATCGGAGGGACTTAAAAGAACCAGGCAGCAAAGACGTAGAAAAACCCTGTCAGTGACCACTCTTAGTGCCTACACCTCATAATAACCATCTCTCATGATCGTAAATTGCATAAAAAAGCAATTTGACTACCCGCCTTCGATTATATCCATATAGAAAGGGCGCTCTATAAACGATAAACCATTATTATTTGTTTCCTGTATAACATAGTGCAAAGGTTCTGGTTTCTGTTTTAGGTATCCGAATCCCCTTCGAATTCTTGACAAAACAATCCTCACAAAACGATTCTCAAGCGATGAGGTGGACGACCATAAATTCATTAATTTAGTAATTTTGTTATACTAAATATCCTAGCAATCGAATGGTCTGCATGGGAAAAATGGACATCTTGCAAGGGCAAAACATGTGGTTACAGTGGTCAAAAGACAAGAAAAAGAGAATGTCTAAAGAAAAATTCCACGGACATTGCTCAGGGATGCCTCGGAGATGACACCCAGACGAAATCCTGTACTGTACTCTGCAGCACACTGCAGCCCAGCACCAAAATAATCCCAACCACCGGAAACAGCCTGCTTGATATTTCCTCGATCAAGAACGCTATTAACAAGTACAACGGATGGTTCAAAAGTCACTATCCTGAGCTTTTCCACTATTTAAACTCCAGAACTGGAAAGATTGCTTTTGCATGTGCTCTCGCTGGTTCCGGAATCGCTATCGTTTTGATATGCTGGTCATGCAGGCAAGTGGTTTACAACAGTTTTCATGTTTAAGAGTTTCTTTGTTTGTGGGAGTCACGACTTTACTACTTTTTTGTTTCATCCACGATTTTTATTTTCATATTCCTGCTCCGAGCTTTCGGATTACAAACCCATCGTCAGGGAAAAACTGATTGAAATTACATTCAAAATTGCGAGACAACAACAATCACGTGCGAGTGAGCTAACGAACGTACGTTGCAATCGTGAACGCGGAAAATAAATAAATAATTTATTAAATAGATAAATAAACAAATAAAGTTATATAGACGATACTAGCGTTTGATCATATTAATAAGTGGCACGTAACTATGTGGAACAGTCCTTCCACAGTTTTCATATTATTTTGTAAGATCACAACACGCTTCACCGCGAAGGTCAAGGTACAATCGAAAAAGGGACTAATTTTGAACCAATCCCACACATAAGGCGACTATTTGTCTTTATAGAATTGATATTCAGCGCCGTAACGGTCACGGCGATGTACGTCATGGTCACAGTCATACATTCCCCTCATTGTTAACAAGGGACCACTTCTCTTAGATTCCTGTTGAGACTAGAAACTCTTAAACTTGAGATATAACTAAGACTGAATTATGTTCTAATCTTTGGTGGCTTGTTATCTCTAGCCACTTCATAAGTCTTCGCAGACAGAGGAAAAGAATGGTGAAATTTGTGGATGACGATGACATAGACGGTGAGCAAGAACCCTTGCAAGGCGAAGACGAGGGAGAGTTGGTTGATGATCAGTACACCACAGAAAAAGCCGACGACCAGGTTAGATCTAAATATATATATATAAACATAGATGTAAGATCAGATTCTCGGACAATCTCGTACCCAGAGCCTGCGTTTCTTCTGGCCTGCGGCGAAGAACGAGAAGACACTTAAATAAATGATTTTTTTAAAAACAAAGTTCTGTGTTTACTTCCGAACAAAATAAAAATTAAAAATCGAAAACATATTTATTTTACATTTTTGGCAAGTCTTTAAATGCCTGCGCTCTTATACCGGAAGTCCAAGAAATCCTGGTGTCAAAAAATGGATTATGCCACAGCCCTCGTTCTTCAGAAGAAACGCAGGCTCTGGGTACGAGATTGATTCTCGACAATTTTTCGAGCATACGCGGTATGAATTTGTTGTCAGGAATTAACCCCATATTGTCATATCGCAGCAGAATATGGAATACTACGGAGTTGGTGGTCAATATTTTGAGAATTATCCAGAAGGCTATAACTACTATTATGAACAAAATGGTTACGATGAAGATGAAGTCGTGTACGAAATGACAGGTATATATATATATTCATCAATTAAACTTTACGCAGTTTAACGCAGTACACAGTACTACTCACCAATGAATACGAAGCTTTCAGGGAGGTCAGGTGATGGCCGATTCTTGAATGCAGGAGGCATTATAATCCGTGTTCTATCTAGATTGGGTGCTACTGGGGTGCAATCGAAATATGGGACCAATATGCCTATTGTTCTCAGTCCAGAACAATAGTTGTTCAAATGAGTTGGCAGGCATGAGTAGTCCAAAGGAGCAGCAATAACAGTGCATATATATAATATATAATATATATATTTATATATATGTTATATGTTTGATGATGTTTTCTGTCCCCAGGCTAAATCAAGACCCATACCTCAATGTGCGTCTTCTGAGTGTTACATACAGTGTGCATGTAATCAAGGAGGCAAAGATGTCATTCTTCGACTTTTTCACAGGAAGAGAAAGTAACTTGTAAATGGGAAATCTTGAAATAAACAACCTAAAATTATTGATAGTTTTTTCTGGGCTTCAAAGGCCGGTCCATTATGAATGGGCTCCCTGTGGTTTCAAATTACGACACTTTCAGCACATCTGTTTCCTATTGCTTTTCCCCCTTTTCCTTCTCATCTACATATTATTTTGGGTTTCAACGGACTTTATTAGTTGCGGGTACCTACCTTTGCACGTTTTATCAAAGGTAGAGTTACAGTAGTTGTCTGTCTGTCCGCATGTCCAGATATCCAAATAAGGCAAATGAAACCGGAAGCGCTCTGCCCTTGCTGAAGTTGGAAGACGAACTCAAGAGGCGAAAGAAAGGGCAGGAAAAGACTCCGGATTTACGGTCAAATCATTCGTTTAAACACGGCTAAAATATCACCCAACCCTAGATTGAACTCATGGTACCATCTCTGTTAAATCTTACGACCAGGTCTGGTCCAACAGACTTTTTACAAGCCACAAATGTCAAAACGACTCACTTAACGAAAAGGGCTTCGGAGACCGACCTCGATGGCATCAAGTGTAAATTAACAGACGAATTTGGTTTGTTTATTCAAGGAATTTTAGCTGTTGTGGCCTTTAGTACATTACTGTGTAAGTATTCTATCTTATTTGAGTTCTGAATTATGTAAATGTTGGGGAAAACATCCGTGAATTGTAGATGAATTTATAATTTGTTTTCTCGTGCTCGTGGCGTGCTTGTACTGTAGCTGTCTTCAAGTATTTCAACATTTCTATGGAATTTTTCCCATATCGAATTTCATTTAAATACTCTAGTTGACTTTCATGTTCCTTTAATTCTTAAAATAAACCTTTCTTTTATGAATCCATATTTCTTAATCCGTATTCAAGAATTTGGATGTGTAAATAAGAAAACATGTTTTGAATTCGTGAAAATGAATGAATTCTTGAAAAAAAAACATATCTCTGATCTCGCTCTGTTCTTAAAGATCTTATGCTATCCTACGATATTTTAATATATACTCCTTCGTTTAATTAAGATTTATCGCCTTAATTAAGCACAAAATTAAGAAATAGCGACAATGGTTTGACATCCCAATTTTAGTAAGAATCTGATGAAGATTTTGTATAAAGATGTCGCCAAAAATTTATCACAGAAATGTCTTGTATTAAAATTATTTTATTGACACAAAAAATCCTGGATATAGCATGGGAAGCCCTAGTTTTTAATTTCCAAGGATCCTTATATATGTGTGAATTTATTTTGGTAGATAAATGTGGTAGCTTTGTAGATGGATAATTATTCAGGGATATTCTAATCAACATAATTGACAATCAGGTCTATTATCTCCCATGGCTGCTATGGAAGCTAGATTTTTATTTCACATCTCTGTTATGTTATTTAGTGGTTAGTTCGTGTGGTTTTGGGTATAATTTTCCTGCGGAATGCAAGTACTAGACAATTGCTGCTTTCTCACATTTCTACCATATATATTTTGAATGGAATTGTACTTGTTATATATGTGCAATGTACAATTTCTAACCATTTTTTCCAATAATGAGCAGTGATGGCCAAAAGCACCAAAAACTACACTTTCGTATGAGTTTTGATTCCATTTTTCATTTTGGGTTACATGTAACACTTAAAACCTTTTTTAAACAGTTAGAAACTGATGTACTATGATAAAATGCCTGTTTGAAGCAGTATTTTCAAATGTATAAAGATGTTTTGTTGCATTTGTGATAGAATGTAGCTTTGTCAGGCTTTTTTATAGAAAATATATGGAAAATAAGCAAATGAAGAACTAAACCTCATTTTTGAATAATTTTTTTACTTTGGGTTATTACACTTTGATTCCACTTTCATCGGTCATCTCCACTTCCAAACAAGTTAAACTTTCTGAATAACAAGGTTTTAGCCTTGTACAACAGCCTTTCTTCAAGAAAATAGTTTTTGGTGCTCACTGCTTGAATACGAAAAGAATTCACTCTTATAACAGCTTTTCAATTTGATATGTTTAAATTACTTAGCAGCTGAAAACTTTAGAAATATTTGTATAATCATATGTTTTTATTCCCATAGATTTCATTATGATTTTCATTCTGACAGCTTAAACGCTGCTCGGACTTGGCATGACTTTATGTGAGATAGCTTACATCACAGTTTAAAAGTACATACTTTGCAAATAAAGGCTATAAAGACCTTTGTATACTATAGCCCCTCCCCAAATTTTTCACCAATATATTACAGATTCTCTTAAAGACTAATTCTAAGAAAAAAATATGGTGTGATTTGCATTGCCAAGCTTTCCTAATAATGTAGGTATGTGATAATTTTAATTTAGTGCCATACAGTTTGATAATTCTCTACATCTCAATATTGCAATACTCACCCCAACACACACTCTTTCGATTTTATGATCAAGACTACCTTTAATATCTACTGGCAGCTCTCCATCTTTGTAAATCTCAATTGAAATCTGTCTAAAATAGTTATGTCTATGGATAGTAATATCCATGGATATACATATATATATTTGAATTTTACAAAAATCTAAAATCCACATTCATAATTTTTGTATGTGAGTAAAAGATTAAAAAAATAAAGTAATTAAGAGAAATGAGTAAGAAAACATATTTTTGATCAAATGAATGAACCATATCAGAAAGGTTTATTATGAATAAGAACTTTCAGGTGATAGGATTAAAAGATCAAAGATTTAGATAATGAGAGTATGTCTTCATTGCATTTATTATTTATGATATTCATTATTTATCTCCTTTCTAATTCTATTATGAACTTTTGTTAAAATTAAAAGAAAATTTCATTATTTCTACTTATATTCTTGGAAATAATTATTTTAATTTCAAGTATATGTATTTGTCGTAACAGTGAATTTAGTAAGACCTTTTCATATTATGTGTTCTTAAAAATAACATTATTTTAAAAAGTATTCCTTTATTTATATAACTAATATTTATTTGATACCCACGATCTATATATTTGTGGTATAAAATGTATTCGTAGCCTTATTTATTATAAGTATAATATATATGTATGGTATGTGTATATATGAATTGTTATTGTATCATTTTATTTTTTTATTTTTCTTTGTGTGTTTGTGTATTGTCGTAATATGCATGTTTCAAATTCATTTTTATAATATTTTTTTTTGAATAATAGCAATCTTTAAAATAAAATGAATTTTATTTTTCCCTATTCTATTTAGTAAAACGAATCAGAGAGCCTCCGGGAGAAAGAAGAACATTTAGGATATGGTATGTGATGGCATATACAACAGCTGTATTTGTTTTTTTCTGTACTATTATAAATTGTACAGCTTTGCGCATTAATTACATAATGTTTGAAAGCTATCTTGAATTATGTCTTTTGTATATTCACCGATGCCAGCCAAAATGTCCTTTTTGTTATTGATGTTTTGACTGAATGGACTAAATTATTGTTAGGATGCTGTGCGGTCATTGATTTATTTAGGCAAATCCATCATTATGGACATTGCTTTTTAATGAAATCAATTCTCTTAAAAACCATAAATATATCAAACATTGAGTGTCGCATTCCCCTTTGTTTTACTCAAATTTTTTTCGGTAAAAATTTTTAGTTGATTTCCAAAAAATGTGTGTAAAGGTAAATCAATCTATGTTAAATAGGTTTCTTGGATTTTTGAGAAAAATTTCTGCAGCTAACGATAGATGAAAAACTCTTTCTACATCAGCTAAAACCAAAATATGGAATTGATCATACCATTTATGGAGTGAGCTTTCTCTACTCCAACCTCGACACTAACATATAGAGTAAAGCTTGATATAAAAGTTGACATGTACTGTATGGTGTACTTGAAAGTTTCTTGTCACGATAATTGATTGATTTGATTTAAAAGAGAGAAAAAAAGTATAGAATTGCATGTAGCAAGAGTAATCTACGTCTAAACATTTTAATTTTTCCAGGTTTTATGACACTTCAAAGCAAGCCGTAGGAGCAGGAGTTATCCATTTTGCTAATGTTGTACTTTCAGGTCTGTTCAGTGGAGATCCCTGTACTTGGTAAGAGCAGTGTGCTTATACACAGAATCCAAATATAGTGACCAATTTGAATTATAAGATAACTGTTATGAATGTCACATTGTGATTGGTTTTGAGTGCGTGCTTTATGAGAGCACATTGCACACATGCGCACTTTCCGTTGCGTCATTCCTATCTATTATTGTGATTTGTATTTTATAAAAGAAATAAAAAACTTGCTTGCTGTGCTGTGTGCAGTCAACTTGGAACTTGAGTGAAAATGCAGAAATGAAGAAATAAAAACGTTTGCGCGTACTGTGTGCTGTCATAAAGCACTTGGGGATTGGCAGAACACTCAAGAAGTGTCCAGAAGCACTTCGCTACGTGTCATGCATCTCCTAACACTTTTCTCATGTTCTGCCAACCCCTGTGTGCTTTATGACAGCACACAGTACGCGCGAACATTTTTTTATTTCTTTTTTTTCTGCATTTTCACTTCCAAGTTCTTCCTGAGTTTATTGTAACAGGAACTCGGTGCAATAAATTATATCTTTTGTCATAAACAGGGTTCACAAATTTGAGTTTTTTTATCATAAACAGGGTACCCCTTTCAGAATCCCAGCAGAATACCCCTACCCAAATTCTGGTGGAGTACACCCCCCCCCTCCCCCCTCGGGTAAATGTGAATGGACATCATTGTGATGGTACAGGTCTGTGAATCCCAACCATGTTACTCAGCTTTGTTGGTTTATGCAATAGATTTCTGTTTGGCAAACAACAACCAAAACAAATGACCCTGTCCACAACCTACTAATCAAAATATGAATATATTCCTCAAACTATTGTAAAAAAATTTTTTTTTTTTACAGGTATTTTATCAATTTTCTACTGGATTCTACTCTAGGCTTGGTTTTTATATGGATATTTCTACGTATTACTCAAGTAATAGTTGATGTATATAATCTTGAATCCTTTAGATCTGGCGTATACGGTGAGTAGAGTAGTCTTTAATTCAGTAAAAAATTTCCCTTAAGATATATATTTTTTAAATTTGAGATTTTTTTTGATTAGCACACTAGATACCAAGCTTTGCTGGTCTCATGTCAATGTTAATGGTAATATTTTCTTTTACACCTATCGACAGGAAATCCTCCGCAGTGCCGTAACTGGGCATGTCAATGTTTAGTGTATATCTTAGTCGTCATCTTTGAAAAAATCACTGTAGCCTTACTAGTACAGCTTGGATTCTGGGAAGACGTCAGGAAGTTTATCCTTAAACCAATCAAGAATAACCCCAAAATGGAAGTAGCAATAGTGATGCTTATTGTGCCTTTTGTCTTTAATGTAAGTATCTTTGTCTCTATCATGATGTTGTCTACAGTAGGCATTACATTATTTTACTTTATTTTAGCTGTTTTATTTTTTTTCCGGTCCGGTATCTTAAAATATCGTGCGTTCTGATTGGCTGTTTGAGCGGGCAGTATTTTGTTAGTATCGGCCCGCGCTAGCGGTCCGGTATCCTTGGCCGCTAAACAACAAAACAAAAACAATTAAAAAACTACGGGAAAAAAATAAATAAGTTATTTACCGTCCTATATTCGGTAACGGCCTCGGTCCGTATATTCAAGAACTCGGGCACAGTTTTTCCCTATCCGGACCTTCTGGCCGGTAAATAAATATGTTTTTGTGATTTAATACTTTATCGTAAGATTATTGCTGGCAAATCATGATCTGCACCACCTTATGGAATATAATTGTAATGATCATAATCGTCATCTTCATAATGATGAACATATTCATCGTCAGCATCATCGTTGCCGTCGCCATCATTGCGGTTCTCATCATGCTTCATCACCATCATCATCGCGATCACCATCAGTTATCATCGTCATCATCGCCATCATAGTCGTCCTCATCTCCCATTGATTGATCATCGTCAACTATCATTACTATCATCATCGCCATTTTTATTATTTCAACCAGTCTCTATTAAGCGTAGCAAATTCTATAAAATAATGAAAAAATGTTTTGTGTCTTTTTATTTGGTTTTCTCTCCAGGCTGTCATGTTCTGGGTTGTTGACGGATTTCTAATGCGCAAGAGAAGAAAAGCTCTAGATGCTTCAGATGATAATATTAAAGTAAAGTACCAGCGACGGCAAGACAAAGCCAAATCACCCAAATCACCCAACCAATCAGACGAAGAGGCTGTATTACTAGAAAACGTTATTGAAGATGATTGCGACGATGGCTTATATCACCGGGAAGTTATCAGATGACAAACTACTAAGAAGCACAAAGATTTATTAGTATAGATAATAGAGTTTACGCCGGGAATGTTGAACTTTGACACCCTATTCATAACTCTACTTCACTTGATGTAAATACGTATTTCCAGGGATTATGTACAGGGCATCTGTTCTCGCCAAGATTTTTATTTTTTACGTTTAGTTTTGCACTTGTAAAGCCGGAAGTAGAGTTTTTTTGAAGTTTGATGTCGACTTCGTCATGAAAAAATTAAAGGTCCTTCTGGGAAGATTAAAAAAATAAAATAAAATAAAATAAAATAAAATAAATAAATAGATTAATGTTGACACTTAAAATTCCCAGTTGACGAGTGTAGTCCCATTTTCGGCTCAAGCCAGGAGAGAAGGGGAAAACTCGATGCTGTGTGCAATGGCCCTGTTTCAAGCGGCAGCCATGTTGGTTGAACAATAGATCCCTTCGAGCGTAGGCTGGCATTCAACTGTTTGAGAAATAAAGGCTTTTATTTTGATGAGAATAAATATGGCCGCCGTGTGATAAAGGTCCACGGGATTGCTTTATCTTAGAACAGGTATGCGTTTTTGGGGAGTAGAGGGATGGGACTGGAGATGCTGAGGGTAGGGTCTCGAGAATATTTTATGGACACCAAGACTGTTTTTGAGGGGAAAGAAAAAGGCTGTTTTCTGTTCACGATTTATTTTTGGTAGTAGTTTTGGAAAAACTTGTAGAATTGTTAACAATTCCCATTCCCGTATCTCTCCAATAAAAACATACCTTTTCTGGGTCAAGTAAGTTGGAATAGTGAAATATATAGAATGAAAATAGTGGACTTTCGCAATTTTTTTTTACCTGTCCTATGATCTTGTCAATCTTTCGTTGCTCCTGTATGTTCGTAACTTGAATGTGAATTGAATGTAAATTTGTATCTACAAAACAATAAAATTACATTTATATATATATATATATATATTGACCATCATCGTATGATGGCTGGCAAAATGCGTATTGATTGCATGCTATGGACTGTGCTGGTGATTACAATCATGGTAAATTTGTTACGGTGAAACTTGTGTTTAAAAGTAGAAGCACTTGCACTACACAGATTTATAACTTTATTTCGAAAACCTCACAACTGTCTTCGTCAGAAATGTTGTCAGCGCATCTTGGCTTTATTTTTGTCTTCTTCCGAAAAATGCGATCTGCAACACCATCAAAATACAATCCAGACTGAACCTTGGGCTTTTCCTTGCTGGTATTGAAACGACCATTTCATAGCATTGCCATTCTGTTGATTACAGTAAACAAACGAAACAACAAAGCAAAGACAACAAAACGCAATATTATTGAATCAACATTAATTACTAAGGGTGTGTTACAGATATCCCTGAGACACAGTCCATTACTAAGGATGTGTTCCAGATATCCCTGAGACACAGTCCATTACTAAGGGTGTGTTCCAGATATTCCTGAGACACAGTCCATTACTAAGGGTGTGTT